TCATAAATGGGTGCTGGATTTTATCAAATGCTTTTTCTGCTTCTATGATATAATCACTTAATTTTTATCTTTCATTTGTTTATGTGACATATCATATTTATAGGTTTGCGAATTTTGTACCAACCTTGCATGCCCGGAATAAATCCTACTCGATCATGGTGTATGAGTTTTTAAATATATTGCTGGATCCCGTTTGCTAATATTGTGTGGAGAATTTAGCATCTTTGTTCATCAGGGATATTGGCCTTTAATTTTCTTTCTTTATAGTGTCCAGATATTGTTTTGAAATGAGGATAATGCTGTTCTCATAAAAAAGAAAAGCTTGGAAGTCTTCCCTCCTTTTGATTTTTTGGGAATAGTTTGAGGAAGATAAGTGTTAATTCTTCTGTAAAAGTTTGGTAAAATTTGCCCATGAAGCCATCTGGACCTGGGCTTTGTATGCTGGGCGGTTTTTGAAATTACTGCTTCGATTTCATTAGTTGTAAATGGTCTGCTCTGGTTTTCTGATTATTTCTGATTCATTTTTGGAAGATGTATGCCTCTAGGAATTTATCCATTTTCCCAGGTTGTTCAATTTGTTGGCATATACTTATTCATAGTATTTTCTTACAATTCTTTGTATTTCTGTGATGTCAGTTGTTAATTCTCCACTTTCATTTCTGATTTCATTGGTTTGTGTCCTCTCTCTTTCTTTTCCTTATGAGTCTGTGGTAGGTATTTAAAAGGCCCTGTTATTCCCCAATTTCGTCATCTTTCCTTCCTGCTCAATCTGGGTAGCAATGTGCTTTGTGAAAAACACTTGATGTCCCAACTGTCTTGCAGCTCAGGGTGGCCAGTATACAGAGTTCTGACCAATAAAATGAACCCCCTGGGAAGGGTCCATTTTAAAATAATAAAATGAATTACTGCTCCACGTTTGTGCTATGCTACTATTTTATATATTTCTCCCCATCTCTGCTTGGAGGACAGGAGCCGTTGGACTTGTGGCAGCTGGATTTTGACCATGAAGAGGACACGTACTCCATGTGGACAGTGGAGCAGGAGGATGTGAGACGCACGTCCTTGATCCCCAGGTTGAGCCATGTCACACAATCCCAGGCTGCCCACGACGGATTGTTGTGACTTGGGAAAAACACGCTCCTTACTTTCTGCAGCTGCTGGTGGCTGGGATGCTGGGGTCCTGGTGTTGGCTGCAAGCAGTGTGACACCTGGACTGGGAGGGTTGGCATCTTCCCCTCTGACAGGTAAGAACTGCCATCCCAGGGGAGTCCTGGCTTTGCTTCTCTCAGGAGTCAGGGGCCACGCTGACCTGTACTGGTTTTCTTGAAATGTTTTCCTTTTATAGGCATCTCTTTTAGGAAATGGAATAGCCGGCTGATTTATTTCTCTAATTTTTTGATTCATTTTTAAATTCAGGAGATGAGTTCTTTGTCCCAAAAGCTGCAAATAATTTTCAGAATTTGTCACTTCTCTTTCCCCCTTTTCTCTGGTCTATGCAGATACATTGGATTTTTATGTAGTTTGTGAAATGTTTTTTGGGGGGAATTTCTGAGTTTTGCATCTTTCCCACTAAAGTTTGTAAAGCCCAGTCTTCCACATGTCAGTGCTTTCGTGTGCTGTTGGTGGAAGCAGAGAGTCATTCAGACTGAGAGTAAAGGCTAAACATAAACGGTTTCTCCTTCTCAGTCTTTTCAGGGAAAAACATTCTCAAAATAGAAGTGGTCACAGTGCAAAGATGAAATCGAGGTTTCTATCAGTACAACATAGGTTCAGGGAGGAACACAAGGTCGTGGCTGTAAGGGCGTCGGTAGCGACCTTGGAAAGGGAAAGGGAGGGCGGAGAGACCTTTTCTTCTAGAAATAAGGCCTCTGTCACACTCAGTGATTTCTCAGCCGCCTCCTTTTCAAGTTAGGAGTGAAGGGCCTGTCATTGGTATTAATAAGGACATATTACTTCTTGCCAGAATTTTATTACAATGTGTACAGGTTTATTATAACTAGTAGAGTCAATTTCTTAGAGAGAGAGAGAGAGAGAGAGAGAGAGAGAAAGAGAGAGAGAGATGAGACCACTCCATCATTAGACATTGGAATAATCTAACTTTTGGGGTTCAAAAAGGGACCCTTTCTTTCACTAGTCATTCAGCGTGAACACCTATACTGACTAGCTTCTGTGCTCCCCTTTCTCTGGTCATTATTTGAGACACTGATGCTGGTCAGTATACTCTGCTTTTGGTGTAGTTCTTACATCTTCCTTGTTGTTGGCACAATGAACCATTAGTTCACTCTATCTAGTTGATAGAAAAATATCTAGTCTTTAGAAAAATATATGGGTAACTAAAATGCCTGCTTGTCAGGAGAATATATATATATATATAATCAGTGCCCTCTTGCATCTTAACATCAAAGAACAAGTAACATAGTCTATTGAATCTGCCTGTCCTCAAATCAACACCTTCTGGACACTCTGTAGAAACCTCCCTCTTTTGAGTTTTATTATGAATGGGATTTATTTTGTAGACCCAAATTGTCTTAATTAAGAAGTATGCTCACTTTTGCTGGTTTGTGGTTGCCGTGTGACACTTACGCTGTGTATCACCAAGATGCAAAGGCACGTTAACTTACTGTAGATTGGTCAGCACAGAAATCTCTACACAAGGGAACCACGTGCATGAATCTTATGAAAGAGGGGAAAAAGAGCCAGACGGTGGGCTAAATACTTGAAATTTATTATTGAGAGAGAAAGAAGAAAGGGCACAGGTACAAAGACCTTTTCCCGGTCTTCAGGGGCATCTGGTGGTGCTTCAGGTCTCGGTCCACAAAGCTCATTGACAGCACAGCTTGAGTTGAAAACCAGAGATTTGACACACCCCAGTGACACGCTCCAGCAACTCGCCTAAGACATTAACTTGGCAGTTGTGCCTGCAGCGGCAGTTCTCTATTTTTATTTTCTGAAGTTCTGTGGAGGGAGGAGGAGGGTCAGGCACTGGGGAGGGGACTGGGAGGAGATCTTCTGAGAGAGGAACTCTCTAGTCACCATGGCAACACCTGCCAGGTCAGGCTGAAAGGATTCACATGTTTCTCATAAATCACCAGGAATCTCACTGGCTCTGTGCGATCATGCAGGATCATCAGTTTTCTCTGATCCTAGTCAATGATGTACATTCTTATGTCTTGCCTCTTCCCCACACCAGTCCTTTCCAACTCAGGGCAATTACTCCTCACCCCCAGTCATCCTTACACCCAATTTTGAGCCCAGACACCTGGCCCTTTCCAACAAGCCCCCCTAATGGACCACAGACCCCAATTGCACAGACCCCAGTTGGCTGGTGTCTCACCTGCAGCTCGAGCGAGGCGTTCCTCTCCTGTGAAGGAGATGGCCACGTCCTGGTCACCATCCTCAGCCTCGTCCTCATCCTCAGACCAAAGCTCACCCTGGTCCTTGGCTTCAGGCTGGTCCTGGGCGGGAACCTGGTCAGCTGTCTCTTGGAGGGTCTGAGCCTGGGCCTGGAGGGCCAAGAGGAGAAGGGCAGCCAGGAGAGTGAGGGTCCTCATGGCTGAGAGTCACCTGGAGCTGAGTGTCAGGTGAGAGGACAGGAGAGAGTGGTGTTCAGGGCACAGTCAGCCTGTACTTATAGGTCAGAAGGGAGGAGGTTAAGAGACACACGGTGCAGGAGGGAAGCTGTGCCTTTGGCTGGCCTAGGGCCAAGGCCGATGTCGCCCTCAAAGCCCCTTTGATGCTCCTGTTCCTGCCCCTCCATCAAAGCATGTGTCCGTGTGCCGAGTGTCCACACTTGTTTCAAGGTGATAACGATGATAAGGACCTGCCATGTTTTCTGTTTCCCATCTGCTTGGATATTTACCTTCTGATGTTCAAAAAACAGGGAACTGTGCTCTCATTGAGTAAGTCAGGGACCAGAGGCCTCTGCTTTCTGATGTGGGCCCTGCTCACCTCTGAGTCCCTGGCCCTGGGACCAGCCCTTCCCTAATGGAGTGGAGGGTCCATCCTGCAGGTTCAGGGTATCATTCCGTGTGGGAGAGCTTGTCAGGTCCTGGGGGATAGGCTCCTGTGGTGGAGGGGACAGTGACTCAGGCTCAGGTGGAGTCAGCACTTGAGGACTCCAGGGAAGGAGTTGGTCAGAGCGAAGCTGAAGGAGAGATTTATTTCAGGAGGTCAGTGTGATCTACACGCATGGCACATACGGCTCACCACTTACTTGTGCCTTTTTGGAGAAATAGCACACATAGCAGGTTCCCAAAGTCAAGTTCTAAAATTTCTGATCTTTAAAAAGAATGTGTGTGTGTGTGTGTGTGTGTGTGTGTGTGTGTGTGTGCATAAAGAACAAAATTTAGAAGGTAGAAGATAAATGAGTGAAAAGTAACTGTCTCCCCTCCCAGAGTCAGCCCTGCGTGTCTTCTGCAGGAACCCTAACTGAACAAAAAATCGAGGTTTGGCTGCCTGTGGCGATGAAAGCCAAACTTGTGAGGCAGGTGCTGGTACTACAGGAAAGAGGTTTATTCACGTGCTGTACAACATGGGAGGATGTTGGACTCTCATCTCAAAGACCATATCCCCTTCCTGCTCATGCCCAAGGTTCTCCTAGAGATAGGGATAACTGGATAGAAATGCTACTTTCTATCCAAGTATCTTGCTAGCTTTTGGTGTGCTGGGGTCCTGTCCATTCATCTGTCCAGATTTCCATGCAATCATGTTCTGTCCATTCATACTTCTAGCTTTTGTTGTTCTCAGTGTAAGAACCTCCCCTGCACCTTCTTGGTCAATGAGTAGACTCCCTGATGCTCTGATTCTCAGTGTATGGTTGTAGAACCACCACAGTACAAGTAGTCTGTGTTTGCCTTTCTCTGTCCAGGCTTAACTTGAACACTGTTATATCAACAGGTACAGAACTGCATCCTTACTTTTATAGCATATCCT